TGGTTTCTTGGACTTAAATGACCCAGCTGCCTCAGCTTCCCAGCTAGCTGGGCCTACAAGTGTGTACACCAGTCCCAGGTAAGTAAAACAAAAATTGTATTTTATTTTATTTTCAGGGGAAAGAGTAAACATATCTCCCACCACCACAGATTATGTAGTCGAGTTTCCCACGTTTGAAGAAATTGCAGAGGTCAGCTCATTTGCAGTGCAACCAGTAACCCTCACCCTGGGGAGAACAAAAATTTTAACCAGCACTCAATAAATAATAACCATAAAGGAAAAATAATTAGCTCTACTGCCTTGAGATAATTTGTTTCTTCAGACTATCCCATTAATAAAATATCTTTTTTCTGGAACTAGAAGATATTTGCAAAACATAGGTCCAATAAGTACTTATTAAAAATATGTAAAGAATCTCCACAAGTCAATAAAAAAGAGAAACGAGCCAATAGAAAAACATAATAAACTGAATATAAAATTAACTAAGTAGGATAGATAAATGAGCAATAAAAATATGAAAATATGCATGACTGCATTAGTTACTGGAAATACGAAAGTTGAAAACTACGGTTTTGGGAGTTTGGTGGCAATATGCATTTGAAAAGCTGATATTTAAAAACAGGCACCATAGTAGGTGCTTGCAAAGTTCTATAGGAACCAGAGTGCCCCTACGCTGCTGGGAAGTATAAATTGGTGCAGTCACTCTGGAAAACTGCATGACAAAATCCTCCACATTTGAGCATAGGCCAATGGTCATGTAATGAAAGAATCCGGCTTTATGCATTACAAATAACAGAGTCCCAGCATTTGTGATACATTCCTGCAACAGCATGTAGCACAGCCACGAGAAAAAGACCAGTCTACTCATGTTATGCATAACAACATGAATGAATCTTAAAACTTACATCTCAATGTTGAGTGAAAGAAGACAGACACACAATACACATACAGTTGTTCCCAACCAGACAGAATGCACTGGGCATGGTGCTCTCTGCCTCCACACGCTGGAGAACTGTGATGGGAAGATAATAAACCTGAGACTCTTTTCACTACGCCAGCTGTGGTTTTCTAAAAAATGTTTGAAGAAATTCACATATATGCTTCATTGTAGATGACAGAAAAATTTACTGCTCCTCAAAAGTAGTCTGTTAACTGAAAAAGGCAGTTAGGTAACAGAGCAACAACTGGGAAATGATTTCTTAAAAGTTCTGCTTGTATTGGTGTCTTTGTGTTTGTCTATATGATAAAATATCTAGAAAGGTATGCAGACAGTTGACAACGCTTTAGAACAGTAGTGTTCTAGGTAAAAAGGAAATATACATGGCTCTGTGAATAAGGTATGTTTTGTATGTTTAGATTTTCTAATTTTTCACAGTGCACATATGCAATATTCATATAGCAGAAAGTTATTTTCAATTTAAGAAATGCATTCATAAATAAATATTTCTTAAAGAGAGGTAAATAATATTCACTTTTTTATTTTTTATTATTGCAATTAATAATGACTAAATGTTAAAATCAGAATTTAATATTTCAACCTAATAATACTCATGTATATTTATGGCTTATATTTTTCTTTCTTGACCTGTTGAACTTTTATTATGCAAGTATTATGTCTTCACTGTTTTTACTTCTTTGTATTATACTTGTACAAAACACATTCCCTTCATGATTAATTTTTATTTTATTTTATTTTTTTGGTGGAACCGGGGATTGAACTCAGGCCCTTGCACTTGCAAGGCAAGTGCTTATTCTACTGAGACATCTCCCCAGCCCTCCTTCATGATTAATTTTTGATGCTTCATTACATTATAATGAATTAGAAGTAAAAAGTTTAAATAAAAAACAAATACTGCTATTTCTCTCAGCATACAAAATGTTTTGAGAAAAATTCCAAACAACCATATATATCAATAATCACCATAATATTCTGAAATCTCTCATACAAATGCAAGCTTCGAAATGAAAAAGCTATGTCATATAATGAACTACTTAATAAATTTACCTAGACTCAGAAGAATTTCTTTTTAAAATTTTTAAAAATTATTTATTTATTTATAAATAACAGGGCCTTGTTATGTAGCTCAGAATCACAGTGATCCTCCCATTTCAGCCTCTCCACCTATGGGGTTACAGGCATGCACCACCAAGCCTAGAGTTCCAGGGGCCGGCACGGCATGTGGTACGAGGGATAGAACTCAAGTCGTTGAGTTTTTCAGGTAAGTACTCAGACTACTGAGCTTTCTCTCCAGCCTCCCTCGGAAGAATTTCTAGACAAGTGTTAGAGTACACAGAACATACAACATAATATGATATAAAAATTGAAGTAGGAATGAAATTAAAAATAAAAAGCCAAATGTAACACCAAAAAGCTTTAAAATCTACAGCATATATACATATACAAATATTATATATAATATACAATTTTAAGCATCCATTACATAGTTAACAATAAGATATATTATCCAATTTCTCTTAGTTCTGAAGTTCATCTGAAATCGCTCCAGAGGATGTTATAAAGAAACTGCAGTCATAAAGAACAGTCTCTGTGACATTAGCTCATGTATCCTATCTTCTCAATTTCATATTATTCTCAGCTTTCCAAATTTGAAGCGCTTCCTTTGAGGGTCTCTGAATTTCACAACTTAATTTCAATTTTTCCAAAGAGCTAATTTCCTGTTCATTCAATATTCTTTTGAGCTGCTGCAAGGTTATTAGTGTTATTCATGTGAATTACAAGAAATCAGGAAACCTGAAATTAAATTTTCTAGTCTATTAAAGGACTCTATGGTTTAAAAAATTCAATATGATTACATTATAAATATGAATGAAATCCCATTAGCAATGATCAAAGACTTACTGAAGTCTGTACAAACTCTAATTTTCTCAGAAATCCCGCATATTTTATTTGGAAGGTTTTTTTTTTCAGTGAGAGTTGTGAATGTTCATCTATTTCAATCTATTGATATAAATATTTGCTGTTGTTGTTGATGTTAAATTTTGTACTATGTTTGCCATTTTGTTGCTGGATGCTGAGAATCTGGTAGTGAGTGCCCAGTCTCAACTGGTCAATTCTAATGTTTATTCATTAGCATATTTTGATGTTCAATCAATATGTATGAACTCCCTAATTGTGCTATTAGTGTTATCGTCTAATAGTTTGGCAGCACATAGTCAAAGTTGGAGAGCTGGTGAAGGAACACGCTGATGTTGTATGTTGTTAATGAGGCAGAAACTCAACCCTGACTCTTACATTAATTTAGCATTTGCCTTTGACATTTAGAGTGTGAAACGGGAGCTTATCTTTCCTTCCCACCAGTGGCTGGTCTATGAAACTGATATTTACTTTTCCCGTTTTAACTAAATCAGAGCAATGCTAGTCTTTGATACACAAGTTTGAATTTGCAAGAATAATATTCCTCAAAGGTAAGAAATAACTCACTCACTCACGGAGAGTATTAAAAATGAACCACAAGACAAGCAGGGAGCTAAGAGCTTGTCAGTTCTCTTGGAGCTGAGATTTGAGCATTCAGAGCTGACCTCTTTCAACAATTGTTTTCTATTTCAGAAGTGTCATTGTATTTTCACACTACCATGTCATAGTCTCTTACAGCAAAGTAGAAACAAGAAAGAAACACTTCTACATTCTAACAGCTTTATCGTAAATGATAAAGGGAAAGCAGGTGTGCCAGCAAAGAGAGAATCAGAGAGAGAAGTGGCAGCAGAGTCAAACATTTGGAGTAAACTAGCAATTTTATTGGAAGGAGTGTCAAGAATTGTCCCGGCATTGGATCACCATATTATTAACTCAGACATATTGGTAGACTGACAGTCACATGTAAACTCAGATTCCTACATGGCTCTTTAGACTCTTGTGTCTACAGCGTACATCTTGGCCGTCTCTGTTCGAGGAGCTGTGTAGGACTTAGCCCTGGAAGTGCCTGCAGTTGAGTAAGGCTTCCTTGTGGAATAAGAGTAGCTCCTCTCAGGGTCAACATCTGAAAATGTAAGTGCAGAGAAATGATAAATGAGTATGACTTTGCAAACTTTACAACATTTAAGAAAAAAACTCAATTGTATAAGGTTTTCCTGCGAAAGAGATGAAATAAATTTCTTAGCAGAAATTATTTAGGAATCCTTGGAATAATCATAGAAGAAAATCTAACATTTTCATCCTAAAGGCTATTTTCAGCATTTACTTGAGTAATTTTATTTCATATCTCCCTCTCGGCCTGACTGTCTGACTGTCTGACTGTCCGTCTGTCTCTTTCTGATGAGGAAGGGAGCCATCTAGTTTTGAAAGTGAAGATTTAGAAACTAAGTATAACTCATTACATTCCTTATGCACAGCTATTTAACCAGCCTTCAGTCTACTATTCTATTTGTCTCTATGAATTTAGTTGACCAGATAAAGCTAGGTTTAGAAAAATAATTATGAGATATCATATTCAAATAACTCACCAACTATCTATTCTGTTATTTCAAAATATTTTAAGATAAAAGCAAATTTTTTTTTCATATGTGCTGCTAGATTTTGTGTTTATTGAACAGAAAGTTTTTCCCTTTTCCTCATTTTTTTCTTCTAATAGACAATCTTTCTTGTATTCTGAAAAAAACGTTTTGGTTATTTTTCTAAGCTCATGATGCATGATATATTAACAGCTGTTTTTCTCTAATTATTTTGTTATGGAATTTGTTTTATTTCTGTCAGAAAAGTAGGAAGAGTACCTTCATATTTTCTTTATTAGTATCTCCTTGTACTAGACTAAGAATAACAAAAAGCCTCAAGCTATTGAATATTGGATAGAATTACAACTGTGAACATGTTTCCCCAACAATATACCACTAACTTGACAATAAAATTTGAACATTACAATTCAGTTGTCTCTGACCAACTGGAATTTTTAATGGCGACACTTAGAAATTTCAGTATTACAGCACTCGTTGTAGTGTTACTACTGGCAGGGAGGCTTGACAGTGCAAGCAAGGAAATGTGCTATCTTATTTTGTTCTTACCTTTAAAGAGATACAAGCCACAGGTGAGGACAGCTCCAGCCAAAAAGCAACCTACAGACCCAGCCATTCCAAGCCAGCATGACCAACCAAATTTATATTGGATGCCAAGAAATATATTATGGAAAATCAGAGAAGTACGTTCTACATAAACATCAACAGCATACCACACAGAACCAATGATTCCGGGGGCACCTGAATGAAAGAGAGGATTGTAAGACAATACGGAACAGTTTCCAAATTTAAATCCGAGGAGGATGACTTTCTACTCCAAATGTATCATTTTTGAAGAGATAATAATGATACCATCGATTGTCAGACAAGTCAATTTTGGATAATTCTTTATCTTTGCCTTGTGCCCTTCATCTTGTGTATTTTCCAAATTTTGTTTACGCACAAAAGGAAATACAAAACAAAGGAGGAATGCAGTGCTCATTGGCTTGGGTGAACCTTGGATGATCACTGATTTTCTTTAATTTTTCCTGTCTTTCCAAAGGTCCATTAGCATACTCATGCATCGCTTAGTGATAGATTTGTCTGAGAAATGTGACTATGGACTGCTTCATCATGGTGTGGAAGTCAGGAGTAAGATTCCCAAGCCTACACGGGACAGGTTACTTACACAAAGCTAAGCTCTGTAGCACATATGCACAGCATAGCCCATTGGGCCTAAGGACATGATAAATGCAATGACCTAAAAATAAACCACGCACAGGAGAAAAGAGGGTAATAAAGAAAAACAGTAAACATTAAGAGTATGAGGCTACTGTCAGTGAATCATGGTACATTGTTTTTCTATAAATAATTTTTTAGAAGTAGGAACATGCTCAAAAATAATGATAATACTATAACCTTGTAAATACAGAGAAGCCACTAGCATAGTTGTTAATTGTCTTTATCTAGTAGTGCAGGAGGGTTTTTTTTTTTTTTCTTTTATGTTAGCATCACAACAAACACGAGAGGAACACATTGTGTTACCACGTTACCCTTGAAACAGTGTCACTGGGCAACAATATATTTTTAGCTCCATTCGAATCGTAAGAGGCCACCACTGTGGACTGTCCTTGATGACAGTGTTCTTATGCAACTCATAGTTCATTTGGATAAAGAAAGCTATTTACAAAACAAGAACAAAATCTGAACAAAAAAACACCCAATGACATATAATTTAGAGAAAATGTTCAGTCTGAAGTGGTTTTCCAGTATCTGAAACAAATAACTGAAATTAAGAAATGGTTTTTATTTTAATCAATCCTTGCCTATCACCATGACATTGCATAAGAATGGACCAAGGAACGATATCGCTGTTAGTAAAACTTAATCTCCACAGTTAGCATCTCTGACAATTGACCACTTTGAAGGGATGCCATTGGCATCCTCTCACCATTTTGAGTGCTTTAGTTGTTTATGAAAACCTATAAGCAAGAGTTAAAGACAGTAATTTGGAAAAGGGAAAAAAAGGGGCATAATTAAAAAAATATTCATAGCCTCAAAATTAAGTTTCACGTCATTTCTCCTGGGTAGTCTGTGATATTAGTGTAAATTACCATTTCTAATTAATTAATACAAGTAGATTATGGACCAAACTCACGAGTATATAATTGTTTTAAACAGACTCAAATTATCACAACTCTTCAATAATACTATTAGCCATTGATTTAACTAGGAAATTTCTCTTTTAAATTTTTGTAATATTTATTTATTTGGTACAGGGTCTCGCTACACAGCTCAGACTTATAGTGATCCTCCTGTCTCACCCTCCCCAGTGTTGAGATTAAAGGCACATGCTACCATGCCCAGTTTTGGTGGCCTCACAACACTCCCAGAGTTCTGGGGCAGGCATCGTATATGGTTCTGGAGATCGAACCCAGATCATTGCACTTGCTAGGCACATGCTTACACTGCTGAACTATTTCTGAAGCCCAGAAATTTCTGTTTTAAAACTTCAACACAGATAACAGATTTATTTTTTTAAGTATATGGATTCAGCATGCTTATTTTAAATAGAGGTGTCCAGGCCTTCGGCACCCTGGTCACTTAGTTTAGTCACTTCTGTTCTCCAGGACTTTTTATCACCGACTTTCATTTTTCGAAAAGGTTGCTTTTTTGTTTTATTTTAAAGTGGGGTATCTAGTGATGACTCGGATCACTCTGGAACATAATTGTGTAGCGTTAAATAGCACTTAAATGTGTTAAATAAACCAAATTGTTAAATACCAAAGGTTTATATTCTCAGGAGGTTTGATATGGAAATGAAGGCTTTGGAAGAATTATTAAATTCTCATCATTTTAAATTCAACATGAGCTCGGAGCCTAAACTCAATATTTGTATGGGAGAAAAAGAGTACCAGGGAAGCTTCATAAGAGCTTTCCCCCTCTACCCTGAATCTCTGCAGCAATTTTCCAAGGCAGACATCACTGCCCCCGATTTTGCAAATCTGGAAGTAAAACAAAGATGAAAATATATCTGCATATATTCTTAGTTCCAAAGGTCTATCCATATTCATTACCCCAATATGGCTTGGTCAATATTTCACTTACATTTCCTTGCTAAATTCTTGCCATAGAAGAAGATTGTATTTTTCTCTGGAGCATATGCCCTTTGACTTACAATCTTCCTTTACTGCAATCCCGTTGGTAGTATAATCCTCCCTGATTTGTATTAAGATCCAGGAACATATATTGAAATAGATTAAGACATAGTTGCAAATATGTTTTGAAGGTGAAGACTGATACAGATGAAAAATCACTTTTGCTCTTTTCCAAATGAACATTAAATGAAGAAATTACCTCTTGACTCACTTGTTATACTTGATTTTTGTCTTCTGAATTTTATTTCCTTATTTGCATTTTTAGTTCTAATGATGAGATGAGGATTATTGTGTTTATAAGATGCATTAGCAGAACAGAAAATTCTAATGCATGACTTGGCTAACTTATTACTTAAAAAGAAAAAAAATGGTAGGGGTATAGGTAAGAAAATGACATCTTTGAGCTTTAAGGTTTTACTGTAGGAATTAACAAATGACAGATTATTTTATAAATTAAAAACATTATATAACTTGTTAAGTGGTCAAGCAATAATGTAAGATTCAAACTTAATTGAATATTAACAAAAGACTATCTCATTCGAAAGGCAAAGAAAATAAGGTCACTAGGAGGTACAATCAAAATATAAGGTGAAGATTTAAATTCTTAAAATTTACCAGAGAAGAAGACATATTGCCATTAACCTCCCTTAAATACTATATCTTGTTTTCAAATGCAGTAATCCCATCTTTCTTGCCCCTTCCAGAAGAAGGTCCTAGCAATCCTCTTTCATGTCCAATTGTGCTTTATTGGCTGCCTTGATGTCCAGAGTCTATCAAAACATTGACCTTTTATGATCATTTTGACATCGAGGAAGAACCAGGAATCACACAGTGCCTGATCCAGTGGGGGAAAAAAAAATGGACAAGGACGACTGTAAGGTTTTTATTTGACAGAAATTCCCATAGACATTTAGGATTAATTCAGGATGTCAAGGCATCCACGAAATGACACTCCCAAGAAAAGACGGAGAACTGCACAGAAAGTGGCAAGGATGGGATGTATGTGTTCAAAACAAGAGCGAGCATTGTGAGAGATACTAAGGACAGTAAGTCTTCTACTTTAATATTTAAAAAAGAAATTTAAGTATTGAGCGTACTAAGGCACCAAGGGCCCTACAGTGAGCTGCCCCGCAAAGCTCCCTCTCCCACCTCGTGTCCCCAGGTGAGTGTCCCCGCCGCCATCCTCACCAGTCCCCATCCATACCTGCGATGAGTAACGTGGTTCCGGCCACAAAGCAGATGCGGACTTTAACGTAGGGCTCCTCGGGAAGGAATTTGACACAGTGCAGGCCAAGGAGCAAGGCGGCGAATCCCAAGCCGGCCAGGATGTCCGCGGTGATCATCAGAGCCCGAGTGAGCACCAGCTTCACTGGATGGCCAGGACGTGCGGGGACAGCGGTCAGAGGAAAGAAGCAGATATCCGTCACAGGGGTTCAGTAAGCACAGGTCGTGGTATACGCAGCAACACAAACCCCCGCGAATGTCAGATTTTACAGCCGTGCACACTTGCACGTGCAGACCTCTAATTTTTTCATAAAATTCAAAAATATAAAATTATTGACATTCTTATCTGTTAAACAGGTTGTTGTTTAGTTTGGTGGACATCCCAGCAGGTTTTTCTGGGCAGTATTGGGATCTAAATAAATTTTATCCTCTTGCCTTCTGCGTTTGAGTACTATAGCCCAATGCTGAGCTGAAGGTACCACATCCTCTCTGCAGAAGCTACCCATAAAGTATGGAATGAACGCATGAAGCAAAGATCACTAACTGTTTTTGGAGTTTTATATTGGAAACTTAGAAATCGGAGGTTAGAGTATTGCCCATGAACGTAGGGCAAAGTAGAAATTTCTCTTCTCGTTTCAGGCTGGTAGGAGTCATAAGCGGACGTCTAGAAAGAAAGAGAAGGCGTGCAATGTAAGAGAATCTTTGCAGGCCGGGAGCGTCCTCTCACTCAGTCCTTGGCTCTGGGGGCTAATAGTCTTAATTAGCCGCTTAGCCCTGCCTCCTCCAAGGAGTGTTCATTAAAGCCACAGCCTTAAGAATGTAGGCGGGGCCTAGGAAACAGATCAGCCAATCAGAGAGGAGCAGGGGCAGCCTTCTTCTGCAGTAGAAGCACTCCCACCAGTGAGCGCATCCCAACTTCTGAGTAACCATTACGTCAAGTTAAAAAGAGAGACATTTTAACACAGACTGAGGGTTAGTTGCAGGAGGCTGGAAGTATTGCTGTGTTACCTGGCTAACAGCTAAATGTACTAAAGCTGATAACTTTTGCAGGGCAGTAACTGTATCTTATTTGCAGAATGATTTGTCATGTCCTTACTTTGTAAATAGTTTTTCCTCAAAAGTGAGGCAAAATTAGGGCCTAGGTGGTAAGAGGCTGCTTGTAGAAAAGCAGCAAGTTAAAATATAAAAATATAAAACATCTGTATGACATATCTGAGAGAACAAATCGGGGCACAAAATTCTCCCACCTTTTGAATATAATGCTTGCATATTCTTATTCATATGCACATGTAAATATCTATTTGCTCGTAAAATTGAATTTTTAATATTTAAAAGCTGGCATTGTTTCAACAATAATGTCAATATTAAAATATAGGACTCATTGTTTTTTTCTGGAAGTTGAGGAAAGAAACAAATATAAAGCTTAACAAGCAATAGTGGTTTTCTCTATTTCAACATCCCCTCCAGACTACCAAATGGTATATGGAAGTGGGTCTCCCTTTCAGTGTTCCAGGCCAGTGAGCACCTCCTTTGAATTTTTCTCACTGCCCTTATGGAATCTGGGATAGCAGAGCCAAGAATACCACCGGGACAGGGTGGTCTGAACTCACCCAGCTTTTCACGGGCCCCCTGTCTCCTTCATGTTGAGACTCTCCATCCAGGACTCATGCCTGTGGATTGTTCAGCAACTTAGTTCCTAGCTGGAAGCCCTGACAGGGGATTCTATTCTCAGGATCATGTGAAATTTGGCCACCAGAATGTAGTTAAGAGGTTGATTTGGGGATGCTCAAATTATCTTTATCAGTAGGAGCCTGCAAAAGAAATTCATCTGGGGCCACACAATCTACATCCCCAGGGCAATAGAAAAAGTCATCTAATTGTGGTATTTTGGAAATAACAAATCCTAAAAATAAGATTCTAGTTGTTCCTAAGCAACGTCATAACCTGGAGAAAGTAGACCTGTGATTTCTCTAGAATACATTGTTAAGCCCAGTTGTCTTTAAACATGTGATGTCACGTTTAAGAAAAAGTAATGGGGACTAGAGAGATAGCTCAGCAGACTAAGCCCCTGCTTTGGCAAGTGCAAGGACCAGGGTTTGATCCCCGGTCCTGCATGCTGTGCCGGCCCTGGCAGAGTGCAGGCATGGTGGTGCATGCCTGAAATCCCACTGCCAGGGAGGTTGAAAACAGGAGGATTACTACTAGTCCAAGCTGCATAGTGAGACCCTGTACCAAATACATAAAATGAAGAAAACAAGTAATGGATCCTATATATTATTTAAACATCATAAATGACAACAAAAGAAATAATATAAGATAATATGAACAAAATTTAAAAAAATATTCAAATATAAACAGTGGTTGGGTATGCATGGGGTGATTTATTTTCTTCTTGAATAAATGTAGGTGATACCATTTAAAGGTGTTAAAAATTTTAATCTTTTGGGGATTTTTTATTTGGGTTGGTTGATTTTCTCCTCATCTCTGGCCATTCCTTGAATCTTTGGAACAGGCAAATTTCCCATACAAATCACTATTCCTATTCATTACATCAAACTTGTTTGTTAGAAGAACTACCATACTATAAAAAAGAAAGGGAAAAATTTAACATAATTTTGTGCAATTGAAAAGTTAACAAAATGCTTTATGCATTACGTTGAACTGTCTCAGATGCCCAACTTCTAAATAGGAGGTGAAAATATTTCTGATTGTTCCTTGTTTGAACAAATTTCCATAGACTGAAACAGCTCTCTAGGTTCAAAAGCCCCACTGAAATTATTCCTCATACTTCTTGGGAACGATTTTTCCATGTGGTTCAATGACACATCATTTCCCTTGAAAAGAACCAAAATCATTTTGCTGTAATAACAGGACTGTTGTTACCTCTTGGCAGAGTTAAATGTTATGAATAAATAAACAAACAAAAGGATTCATTGCTACAAAAATGGACTGAGAAACTCAAAGACAACTTCCTTTTTTCAGTACCTGGAATTAAATTCGGAACCTTGCACTTGCCAGGCAGGCACTTACGCTGCTGAGCTATACCTCCAGGCCCTCAAAGACAATATTAAGAGATTCTTTTACTCATAGAAACATGGACGTGCAACTATGTAACTAAGATTTAAAATTACAAGTAAGGCAGATAAAGGGTCTGGCTTTGATATTGCTTAAAGCCTTGTGCCACACTTGCGTTATTGACCCACAACCACACAGACTGGGTGGGGATATCTGTCTTTGTGTCTCTGCCCCTCTCTCTCCACCTCTCTTTTTCTAGCGCATCCTTAACTGAAATCCCTGCGAACTTTCTATGTGAGCCAAGTCACTGCGGAGAACATTTTTGAAATGCTCCCCACCTCACTTGTCAATTTGAGTCATAAAACCATGACACATGATGAATATATTTCAATTTAAAACAGCACTTACAATAAGCCTGATATGCGTAAGATGCTGTGTGGGGTCCTTTGGCAGACAGCAAAGATATTTTTATCCTCAAGGAACTTTCCAGTATATGAGAAGAGATAAAACGCACTAACATATGTCTTACTTGACGTATCATAAAGTCAGTTTCTCCTAGAACATCTCAAGCATCTCAACTTAATAGAGAAGGAGAGAAAATTCCACTTGATGGAGTCCTAGCCCAGCTTGCTGAGGCGTCCCCATCCTTATAGGCAGGGAGGGCCGAAGGATACGTACAGGGGTGCTCCGCATATATAGAGTCGTAGTCGTCACAGGTACGAATGCCATCAAAAGAATTGGTGACACACTCCCACCAGAGGCCTCGGCACTTTGTGCTCACCTGTGGGTTGCAAAAGAGACACGTGAAGCGGCACAGACACACTTCCGTTCCCCTGATCAAAGGGATGCCTCCACTTTTCGGCTTGCTGGCAGAGAACTGCGTTAAAAGCATGCTCAGAATTTGATTTGAAAACATTTTAAATTTTTTTTTTCCCATAAGCATTGACAAGTGAAAATGTCCAGGTGAGGAGGAAATGAATGCACTTCCTGGTGTGCGATGGTGTGTGCATGCACACGTGTGTGTGCATATGCGACAATGCCATGCCTAAAAAGGATCAAATCAGAACGATGCAGCTCGGACTTGTGGCGATCCTCCCACTTTCAGCTTTCCCAGCACCGGGATTGCAGGCGTGGCTGAGCTAGCTTGTTGGCCCCCTAAACACATTTAATATCTAGGGCTAGTTCCACCACCTAGTCATGGCTTAACAGGGAGATAATTCATTTCACTTCCCTGTGCTGACTTTCACTCATAAAAATGTATGTAGCCACAGATAATAATTATTAATGTCTGAAGTTTATTAAAAACATAAATTTTTTATTATAACATGGAGCTTCATGTTATTTTACATGAGGTTCATTAATTGAAAGTTAGCAAAGAAAGTCAATACAAGAAAAGATTAATAAGTGAGTCAAATCACCAAGTTTTCTTCCTCTCTTGATATCATCTCTATTGATATACAACAAATGCTTAAGCTGTGACATGTGATATTGATTTCGTGCAATCTGACAGCTGTAAATCCATTTTACTTGGAGTCAAAATCCAGAAAATAAGAGTCCACTTAGAGCTAAAAGCAAGGGGGCATTGAATTTCCCCATTCTTTATATATAAATTGTATGTAACAGATTTTTTTTTACGACTACAAAGCTATCAACACAAAATAGTTGTACATGTTCTTGACAGAGTAGAGGCCCAGAAAACACAGCTTGGGTCTTCCCTTAGAGTCTGTGATGGAGTCAGGTTACGTTGGCAGCCTGAAAACAGGTAAAGTTTAAGAATCCTTCTGGACAGTTAAAACTTAAATTTCCACCTGAGAAAAAAATAAATAAAAGAGAAGGATTGGGAGAGAGATGCAGAGGAGAGAAAGGCTGGGAAAGGAAGAAGCATAAAGATACTTTGCTTTACACACACACACACACACACACACACACACACACACACTAAGGAGCACACACACTATGAAGTGCTCAGCCCCATATTCTGCACTGAAGCCTTGTTGTGGACAAATAAAATTCTGCTGCCAGCAGTTCCACTGTCACTTTGCTTGTGATAACCTCTATGTATATAATACTCGGAAGTGGTAATAATTAATGACAGCATTGACTCTATATTTTGAAACACTTACTACTTAGACATAAATTTGTTTTATTATTTAGAAGGTTTTTATAAGCTTTACTTTGGGGATCTATTTTGCAAATAAAGAAATGGAGGCACAAGACCTTGACAGCGCTGAGACAGGACAGTGGGTAAATGAAGAAAGGAGGCTTGAGCACAGTGGATTGCATGTGCATCTTTGGCAGAAGAGTGTGTGTAAAACTCACTTAAAAATCCATTTGCCGCAGGGACCAGGGTTCAAGCCCTGGCATGCTGCCCCCTCCACAGCACGCTGAGCCAGCAAATGAGACTGAGTGTGGTGGCACATGCCTGTAATCCCAACACTAGGGAGGCTGAGACAGGAGAATCACTATGAGTCCAAACTGTGAAATATAAAAAAAAATTTGACACTCAATATCTCTGTTGTAACGTTAGTCAAGATTTTAACATCTTAAGGTTTCAGTCACTGTATATCTGTATAAAGGATATGGCGAAAGGTGGTTGTAAGTAATGAAAATTTTCAAATATAACAGTAAAAATGATTTGCTGCATAAGTGAAAATAGTAGTCACATGCTCAAACATCATAATGACTCAAGTAAGTTGCTATATTCAACTTTACTGAAAACATACAAGGGGAGAAGGGCGATGTAATAGAAAGAGTTACAGCCCTACCAAGCTAGGTCCAAATCTTAATCCTAGAACCTATGAAAATGACCATGAGACACAAGTCTCTGCAGACATAATTAAATTAAGGATTTTGGCACGAGGAAACCATCTCTGATTATTCTACTGGGCTCTAAACCAGCGACAATAGCCTTATAAGATGTACACAGAGGAGAGGCAGAGTGAAGAAGAGGAGGTGAACAGAGAGAGAGAGATTGGAGTCCTGTGGGCAGAAGAAGCACCTCCAGGTATCACAAACTGGAGAGAGGTAAAGCAAATTCTCTGGAACCCTCAGAAGCAGTACACTTCACCTAGACCTTGGTTTCAACTTCTGGTCTCCGAATCCATGAGAGAACAACGTTCTCTTACATTTCTTCACCGGGTTACACTCACTTGTTACAGGACAGCAGTGCAGCCTCAGCAGCAGGCACAGAGCTGTAATGGCCCAAAAGAAAGCAAGCCTTGTTTTTCCCCAGAGCCTATTTTTCTTGGCTTCTCAGTCTACACACACACACACACACACACACACACCCCACACACACACACTGGGTTCAGTTAATCTTTACTGGAACCGTCTGCTGTGGATATGAAATCACTACTTTATCATCAGTTTCCTACATGTACAATTTCCTACGTCTACGTCAGCCACCAAAACATTTTTATTAATACGTGGCCATTTTTACATTACATAGAAAGTACTCTGACATGATGTGCATGAAATCTAACTCCACATTAATGACTATTTTGGCCTTGCCAAAATAATCCAGCAGTGTTGTCAGTTCTGAGGCTATTGATCATTTACCTGCAATGACCATATTTAGAAAAGCAATGAGCTCATTAGAGGAAAAAAAGAACCCAATTTCATTAGCTATTAATGCCCAGGGGCACCCCGTTAAAATGTTTGGTATTCACCCTCAGTTTAGGGATGTGAGAATAGTGGCTATAATTAACTGAAGTTCTGGGTTAATACAGCACTTACTGGAGTGCCCTGAAAGGTGCCTTTGTGCCCAAAGTACAAAGTTGAAAGATTTTCTATTATCATATGTAGGAAAATATTCCTCATATAATATACAGTCTCCAGTTAACCTAATCCTCTTTTTATAAAACGGCTCATTAGACATTTTCTAAAAGGCAAACAAAGGTAAGTTCTTCAGGTTTTAAAACAAAGTTCTTAAAAAGGAGACTGAAGCTTAAAATATTATGGTTAACGTTTCTGAGAGGACAGAAAAAGCAAAATGTTAACTAATAACTTTTATCTCCGAGGGTCATCTGAAAGAGGATGCAAAATTGGATCTTCTTCCTTTCAATGTTCATTTCTGCGTCTCATAGATAACAGAAAGTGATGCTAAAAGAAATTTATATATTATTTTAATAAATCTTTATTGGTCTGGAAAGTGAGACCGGATTATCTCTTAAATTAGAAGTCAAGTTATACAAGGCGTGGAAATAAATGAAGCTAACATAAACCTCTTATTTGCTTGCTAATGAGCAAAACATAAAGGTTTCACAGGACATCCCGGATCTGGGGATTCTCTCAGAACACGGGCTGCACCTCTCAGGACAGGACTTGTGCTCAGGCCACAGAGCAGAATTCTCCTTGGCTCAGGTACAGCAGCTACCGGATCCCCCAGGGCATTTGTGATTTACCTTTGTGGTATACACTAATAATTATGAATCAACGTGTCAGATTTCTACCAACAATTCAGACACCCCACTTCAAGATATCCCATCTTCTATGAGGCTTCCCACGCCCCCTGTCTGGAATTAATCTCTTCCTACCCTGAGATTTCACTATGATTTGCCCATAGCTGTAGAATAAATGTTGTATTCTATTTTGAATTGCATTTAATGCTTCTGATTGTCATATTAGAAACTATATTGGATGAATTCTTCTTTTATAGACTAATGAACTTGCCAATTAACTATGAAGATGACTTGCCACCTTGCTTCAACAATCCTCTACTTTCTACTTCCTGACATATGGTAGGTTCAGTTTATTGAAAGAAAATTGTCAGTTTTTTTTTCCAATTCACAAATATGCATATTATATCTCATTTGTGTTTTTGAGTATAAAATAGCTACTAATAATGGTCACTAATATGCTGTACGCATGCTTCTTGCTGCATGTGTGCTTTTAACGAAAACAGCTAAATTTAGGAGACAAAGTCCCTCGCTTAAGAATGCATGTGACCAGGGTCACCATTGACCCGGGCTGTCTGCCCTGCTGGCCCTGTAAAGTGGTTACTACGGTGCCAACGCGTGTGGGGAAGTGATTCGAAGTTTTAGGAAATCATGCTGGTCGCGGCTCTTCCCAGTTGAGTTTCTTGATCCTCAGATTTACTCTTCTGCGCTTCACGGCAGTCTCCCAAAGGCTTCTCCAAAATATGGACCTGGAAGGCATCATGTAAAGTGAACTGCACCGGGCACAGGAAGACAAACACTGTGTGACCTCCAGAGACAAGAGCTTGTTTTCCTCCATTACATGTGGAATCTAAAAAGCAGGGCTCTTAGGCATGGAGTGTAGGACACTGCTCCTTCTGGGGAGAAGTGGATGAGAAGGATGGATGTAGATGGGCTTATCAGCGTTGCTAAGTAACACCGGAGCGAAACAAGCTCCAGCGAGCTACAGCGCAGGCGGGCCGCCAGAGGCAATGCTAATGTATAGCACCTCTCAGAAAGCTTGGGAAACAACCGTGAGTGCTTCATCAAAAACAACTACTAGAACAAATCCCTCTATTCATTAAGAGAATGCAACTATATATCTAAAAAAAAAAAAAAAAAGCTAGATTTGGAGATCCCATTCCCTTGCTGGGTATTTTTCTAGAAGAACTGAAAACCTCATTCCATAGTGATATAAGTGCACCCATGTTTATAGCAGGGCAATTTGTCACGGCTAAATCCTGGAAACAACCCAGACGCCCATAATTCAGCTATAAAATGGAATAAATTTGAGTCTTTTTTTTTTTTTTGGTAAATGGAGATGCAACTACAGAACATACTCCAAAGTGAAATAAATCAAACCTGT